TGAATAATTATATCATTTTATTTATATTATTCTAGGCTTTGTACAACTATGGAGCAAGGAAGGTCGTGTTGTTTGCTCTTGGTCTAATTGGTTGTGCTCCATATGAATTGAAGAGGAACATTGGACTACCATGTGTGCCCCACATCAACCTAGCAGTCAACCTCTTTAATAACAAGCTTAAGGTTCTTGTAGATAACCTCAATCAACAGCTTGCTGGTGCAAAGTTCATTTATGTGAATACTACCGGAATTTCGACTACCATGGGTTTTGGTAGGTTACCTCAACTTCAAAGAACTGTGCCTCTTAGCTGCTTCTTTTTCTTTTTTTTTTTTGCAAATGATATTTTGTCCCTCAATGATTTTAAAGTGTTCACGTCAGGTTATTAAAGATTAAAGTCCCCCATTGCACCTTGAACTTCTTAAAATGGTAGTAATATGCTCCGACNCCATTACCATGGGTTTTGGTAGGTTTCCTCAACTTCAAAGAACTGTGCCTCTTAGCTGCTTCTTTTTTTTTTTTTTTTTTTGCAAATGATATTTTGTCCCTCAATGATTTTAAAGTGTTCACGTCAGGTTATTAAAGATTAAAGTCCCCCATTGCACCTTGAACTTCTTAAAATGGTAGTAATATGCTCCGACATCCTAAGAGAAATTTGGATTTTCACTGTCATATAAAAACTAATTGTTTTCAGGTCGTATGTAGAGTGATGAANAAACAAATTTAAAATTTAACTTGATGATGTAGTTATTATATTTATCATTGATTTAACTGCAAGTTCCAGTATTTATTGAAATTCTCTACTTATTCAATAATTGTGATTCATTAAATCAAGTTTTGAAGTTAATTTTTTAAAACTTAAATAATAAACAACATTTTATTGATTGAAACAAAGATTTGGGACAGAGAGAGAAAGCTTTTTATAGAATAAAAATGAAAGATTTAAGATATTTCTAACATTTTTNAAAATTTTGACATAGTTTACTAAGTGGGCACATTGCTCCTATTTTGAGAAATTCAGGGTGTAACAAGAGATTTTTGACCTTTTAATGGATAAAATAAATATCGTTATATCTTTGAGGCGACAAAATGTTATTATCCATTTTTTGGTTTTTTGGTAATGAGCCTTTAAATGGCTGTAAAACTTAATACGCACGCAATCATTTCTAACCGAGTGCATCTNAGGATCGACCTTACTGATTTAGCTGAGACAAGAAAATATTTAGGCCTGCAACTTTTAATTTTTAAATTCTAATTTTATAATTTTATAATAAAGAAATATAAATTGGGCAGATTGATGACGGGCCTGGTAATGCTNCTGTTAAATCTAGATAATTGCGTGCATCCATCCGTTAAATTATTTTTAACAAACTAACAAGTTGGTTTACGTCTCATTGTCTTCATGAGCATCATCATCATCATCATCATCATCTTTCTCGTGTTTCGGCCATCTCAACGGAGAGGAANGTCTAGGGTTATATTTAGAGATGTTAGACTTGTTGGATTAAACGATTATGTGTTGAGTTAAACAGGTGACAGATAAAAAATATGTAAACTCATACACAACTCGTTTACTAAACGGGTGAAAAACCTAAAAACGAAAATGAACCTTTAATAAACGGTAATACGACACGACTCGTTTAACTCGCTTAGTTTTAGTTTATTATTATATTTTTATGGCTGTCCCTAAATTAAAAAAAAAAAATCTGTGACTATCACTAAAAATAGTATATATATTTTATGTGGCTTTCACTAAAAAAAAATTGCCTTATTTTTTAAAATAATTAATAATTTATTATTATATTAATTTTATTTAAATAGATAAACGAGTGATAATTAGGTTGACAGGAGTCACTTGAACACGATCTGTTTATTAAAAGTACTAAATGGGTCAATCTGTTTACCATCCGAATCCGTTAAGGTCTCACTGAAACTCGCTTAATTCATATTAATTCGTATAAATTAATCGCGTCGTGTCGAATTCAAAGAAACCTGGACTTATATCTGATCAAATCCTTCGGGCCAAGCATCCGATCGCCAAGAGCCCACATGTTCTTATCGAACTAGCCAGCTGTTTTACACTTAGAATGTGATCTATGTACTAATGTACTTTTTATTGGCCAATGTTGGATAGACACAAAACACATATATTATATTCAATGGAAAGGAGGGTGCATCACATCATTAACGACATATAATATTATTATTTAATAAAAAAAATACCAAATAAACTCGATTATTCTAATAACTACTGAAAATTAGCATATTCAATCATCAACACATTGAATTAATATGATTTATTTTATGTACTTATTATTTTTTTTTATTAAATAGTGATATCCTATAACAATGGTAACATGATATAATTACTAACATTATTTTAATACGACATTGGACCTAGACCATGCAACGAATGAAGAACAAAGGACAAAGCAAANACAGTAATATCCTATAACAATGATAACATGATATAATTACAACATTATTTTAATAAGACATTGGACCTAGACCATGCAACGAATGAAGAACAAAGGACAAAGCAAAGAATCACGGGGGCAAAACAATTAGTACGTAAGAGACTTTGGGAGTCTTGAAACAGATTGGCAGCACCCAAACCACACATCATCACACTACTTTTTTTTTTAGAAAGGATTCACTTCTGGTAGTGAGTGGTGGATTGACTTAGAGAGGGTTACAGGCCACTAGTGCATCGCAAGAATATAATATCCCAACTATGATCTAGGACAAACAATGGACACCCCAATTATAATAAAATTTTCAATAAATTATACAAAACTTTATCATCTTTTCCACATCAGCAAAGGCTAATTAATACAAAATTTCCACGTCACAGACATAAGTATACGTGTAACAAAAAAGAATTCATTGGTTGGTCGGTAAGATTGACGCAGTCACTAACCCCAAATTTATCTACGAGACATCAATAATGCCAATAATATGTCAAAAACCAAAAGACTTTTTTTCAAAGTTATTATTATTATTACAATTGTTAGATAGCATATTCGAACTAAATATATACCTCCACTCACTCAAGGTAGAGTTAACCATCTCATCTCAGGTAGACTTAAATAACTAAAAACCAATAGACTGCCTTAATATGATCTATTATTATTAATATTATATTGGAGGTGCCCAGTAGTCAAATAGACATAGATATTATGTGCAAACACTGTTATATTAAGAAATTAAACAAATGCAACTTGAAAACCCTTCAATATCTTATATCTTCCCATGCTACAAGATTTTTTTTTTGTTTTAATCTTGTAACTTTTAGTCTCTTGTTTGTCCAAAAAAAACCATTACTTATTAGGAACTATAGTACCAATTATCAACTCCACTTAGATGCTTGTTAGTGGCACTAATATTTCCTATGCTATCTTTTTCCATGATGCTAAAGTATGTATTATGGTGCTAAAAACATTTTGCCGACTAATTAATATTGCTCTTTATCGTACCTAAAATGTTAATTTAACTCAAAAACAAAAAAAAAAAACAAAAAAAAAGGTTTTAGATCCACTCCCAAGTATTTTCAATTAATCAAAGATGACGACCTCTATATTGGTGCGACACTCACTTATACATAATGGATCTCACTTCATTTTATAATCAATGGTCAATAATTGACGAAAATTGTTACAAAAAACATATTTGAAAAGATCTGAATTCCGAAAATATGAGTAGCGTTCAAAATTGTGGCCAATAATCAGTGTCTATGCAAATGTGTAATATCAAGGCCAATGTTAATGGCATGTTTAGACCAAGTCTAATAATGTATGTTGGTTGTTATCTTAAAACTCTAGGCATAAAGCCTCTTGTGCCTATATTTGACTTTACGTAATACATCATCCTAACGGGCCTGTGTTGAAGATGATTCTAGGTTTTGAAGATGATTTTATAAGGTTTTGAAAATGGAGAGACATATAAGGTTTTGAAGATGATTCTAGGTTTAGGTAATCTCCATNTGTTATCTTAAAACTCTAGGCATAAAGCCTCTTGTGCCTATATTTGACTTTACGTAATACATCATCCTAACGGGCCTGTCAAAAATGGAGAGACATATAAGGTTTTGAAGATGATTCTAGGTTTAGGTAATCTCCATAGGCCCCAACCAAATAAATACAAAGAAATTATCAAACATATATAAACGTGAAAAGAAAAGAAAAAAAACATAAACTAGGATGACCCAACATTAGAAAGAAGGAGACGCATTAGTTCGAAACCAGGAAGGCACAAGTTAGCCACACACGTCTATACATGGAAAATGCTAAAAGCCGTCCCTACCCCACACACACTAACACACAATATATATATATATATATATATATATATATATATATGTATAGAGAGAGAGAGAGAGAGAGAGAGAGAGAGAGAGAGAGAGAAGGTCCTACGAAAGAGGACAAGGGATTGCAGTTGAAATTGTAGCAAATGGTATGGAAGGTGTTTTTTGTCCTTTTGCAACATGGCAAGCAGTACTTGGTATTAGCATAACCGAAGCCGGTTTCTGGAATAGCANGATTGCAGTTGAAATTGTAGCAAATGGTATGGAAGGTGTTTTTTGTCCTTTTGCAACATGGCAAGCAGTACTTGGTATTAGCATAACCGAAGCCGGTTTCTGGAATAGCAACTGTTTAGTCCCCTTGATTGATGATTCCTGCCTATAAATACAACTCCCTTCGCTTCATTCCTACCATCTCATTCTTTGGTTGCTTCCTAAATCTCTTAATCACAGAAGAGATTGGCAGGTACACAGCTAGTCCTCCCCCTTCTCTCTCTCTCTCTTTCTTCATGACCATTTACTAACATATTTCTTCACTTTTTTTTTTTTTTGGGGTAACCAACTAAACATGCTTTTTTTGAGCACCTGGTTGAAATTTAAATCTCTAATACACGCAAAATAACCCACTAACATCATCTTTGTGTTAAACCCGAGTTTTATGCAAGTTTTTTCTCTTGTAATTTACAGTTAATTGTCGTTGAAAATGTCCCCTGCATTGGCAATAGCCACAGAAACAAGGGAGGGTGATGCTTTGGAAAGCCAATACCAGAAAGGAGTGAAGCACTTATATGAAAGGGGCATTAAAAAGGTCCCTAAGAAGTACATATTGCCTGTTTCAGAAAGGCCCAATTTGAGAGAGAGAAAACCATATGCCACAGAGCTCAATCTCAAGTTGCCAGTAATTGATTTTGCAGAACTCCAAGGTGCTAACAGGTCTCAAGTCCTCAAGTCCCTGGCCTATGCTTGTGAATATTATGGATTTTTTCAGGTGGGTCCAAACTCAAACTCAACTTAATTTACTCACCTAATTCCTTACAGTTGTTGAATTGACAATGGACCCATTCAACATTAGGACTTCTTGTTAATCTAATGCTTAACATAACTCAAACTCCAAACTCTGAGAATCTGAAAATTCGTCAAATGTCCAAGACCAATGCAGCTCCTACTATAAAGTTATACCTGAATACACGTTCAGCCTTTCTTTATGATACCCCAAAGTAAAATATTGTTTCATTTAATTAAGTTAAAATAATTTTACATTAGTCATTTATCATTAGGCCAGGGTTTTGGATCTAATCTTAATCTAAATTGAATTATTCAGTAGTTGAACAATTATTTTTAATATTCAATTTGGGTCTTAACAACAAAATCCAACCTGAATTTTTTTTTTCATTCGAAATTAGCGAATTTGAGTTATTGTAGCCTCAGTTGTAAACCTAAATTGCAATTCAAAACTTGAAACTAAGTTTCAGCTCGAGTTGTACAAGTAGAGTTAAAAATATAAACATAGACCTTACTCGAGTTAAACAGTTTTATACGTAGAGTTAAGTCTTCTCAACTCTCTCTGACTTTCCCTTTTTGTTACGTGGTTATAGGGCTTATGTGTTTTTCATGAACTAATGCAGTTGGTAAATCATGGCATCCCCAACAATGTTATAAGCAACATGATCGATGCGGGTGGAAGGTTTTTTGAGCTCCCTTTGGATGAGAGAGAAAAGTACATGTCTTCGGATATAACTTCGCCAGTTCGATGTGGAACAAGCTTCAGCCAGACCAAAGATGGTGTCTTTTGCTGGAGAGACTTTTTGAAGTTATCCTGTCATCCTTTATCAGATGTCCTTCCTCGTTGGCCTTCTTCTCCCGTGGACTTTAGGTAAACCCTCACTACCAATTCTCTCCTCTCTCTCTCCTCCCACACACACGCGTACAAAAGAAAGGAGCTAGCCACACTCGCGTGAACTATTTGGCATGCGAGGGCAGAGCAAGAAACTAGTTACGCGTTGCAACGACTTATTTGGTTCGTCTAGGCAGGTGGCGCAATTAATTTAAGAGTATGTTTTATGAACTTAGATTTAAAAATTTTAATTGTACTCTCTCTAATTTGCCATATCTTTAAAAATACCACTTTTATTTTTTAATCTATTAAATTAAAAATATTAACTAAAATATAATTTTACTAAATTGTCTATGATATATTTGAGGACAAACTTCATCAATACCTCCTCTAGCTAAGCATATCTTTAATGATGCCCCATATGTTTTCTAATTTTTTTNATGATATATTTGAGGACAAACTTCATCAATACCTCCTCTAGCTAAGCATATCTTTAATGATGCCCCATATGTTTTCTAATTTTTTTTTACGTATTAAAATTCGGGTTAATTAAAATTTGATTCGTGCTAATTAAAATGTATTTTTTATGTATTAAAATTCGAGATGATTAAAAATTATATATTCTTACGTATTAAAATTTGAGCCGATTAAAATTCTATTTGAGCCAATTATAAATGAGTTTTAATTAACTCAAATCAAATTTTAATCAATTTACATTGAATTTGAATCGTCCCAAATTTTAATAAATAAAAAAATATAAATTTTAATGAATCAAATTTTAATTGACATGAATTTTAATAAATAAAAAAAATATAAATTTTAATGGACTCGAAAGCAAATTTTAATCGGTACTAACATTTTGGGTAGAGGTCAAATCAAATCGAATCGAATTTTAATACGTAAAAAAAATTTAATAGGCTCAAATTTTTATACGTAAAAAAAATTTAATCAATTCAAATCGAATTTTAATCGGTTCAAATTTTAATATTTAAAAAAATAAATTTTAATTAACTCGAAATTAATATTTAGAAAAATAAATTTAAATCCGTTTGAATTTTAATAAAATTTTGTGTAGAAATATTGTTTAGGGTTTATGTAGGGATATTTTTAGTATTTTAGAAGAATTTTTTTGTTAGAAATAACAGTTTAATGGTAGGGAGTGTCAGTGATGTTTAAATATAAACTAGAAGGTGTGTCAATAATATTTTTGATNTTTTTTTGTTAGAAATAAAAGTTTAATGGTAGGGAGTGTCAGTGATGTTTAAATATAAACTAGAAGGTGTGTCAATAATATTTTTGATAATAGAGAAAGTGTCCTTAAAGATATAGTAAACTAGAAGGGAAATGACTAAAAATTTTCCTTAATTTGATTAGATTAATCCAACGAAGCCTAATTTTAAAAGATGTTAAAGAACTGAATTTGGATAAGATGTTTGACTCGTGAGCAAATGCCAAGATTTGTTGTAAATGGATGAGCTGATTTTGCAAACAAACTAGCATTGGGACTCACTTTTGTTCATTTGCAGTCTTAGTTATTTCATCTTTATACTACGAAAAATAACAATTGCTTATTGCTACATCTATAACATATTTATCTAATGACAATCTTAATTGATTTTTGTAATACTAAAACAGGAAATTGGTGGTTACCTACGCAAAAGAAACAAAACTCTTGTTCCTAATGCTAGTGGAAGCCATTCTTGAGGGTCTTGGAATAACAACCACAGAGAACAAGACAAGAGAAGAAGATGAAGAAACATTAAAAGAATTCCAAGATGGAAGCCAGCTAATGGTTGTCAACTGTTACCCACCATGTCCACAACCTGATTTGACACTAGGAATGCCTCCTCACTCTGACTATGGCTTCCTCACACTTCTCCAACAAGATGAGGTTGAGGGTCTGCAGATTCAGTTCCAAGAAAAATGGGTCACCATTAAACCTATCCCCAACTCTTTTGTGGTCAATGTTGGTGATCACCTTGAGGTGAGTTCATCTTATTGTGTTCTAAATTTAGTGACATCNGTTACGTTGTTAACGGTGATCGTTGACTTACAAAAATATTCCTAAGTATTTTATAGGATAAATTTTATCCACACCCCGTGTAAATAGACTTAATTTTAACAACACCCCTTCCTGATTTTAAATTTTTAATACACTCTCTGTTAGTTTTATTATATTAGCCTTTAAGTTTATCAATTTAATATTTAATTTTATCAAATTAATATTTTTTATTTAATTTAAAGTAAATTAACATTTCATCTTATTAAATCAATACAAAATTGATATTTAATTTTATCAAATTAGCATTTAGTTATGTTAATTTAATATTTAATTTCATCAAAGGAATATTATTTCTTTAATTTAACATTAAATTATTATTTAATTTCACCAAATTAACACCAAATTGAGGTTCAATTTTATTTAATAAAAATTTGATATATTAAATAAAATATTAAATTCTACTAATTCAACATAAAACCTTTCAAATTAATGTTATTTATTTAATTTAACACCAAATGAACATTCAATTTCATTAAAGTAACAATTAAATTTATTTAATTAACATTAAATTTTATCAAGTCAATACTAAATTAATATTTAATTTTATTAAATTAAAATTTATCAAATTAAGATTAAATTTATTCAATTAATATTAAACTTTATCAAATAATATTTAAATTTTATACATGAATGATGATGCGTGAAGAATGGTAAAGTGACGTTTAGCATGACAAACAATAGTAGAAGAGTTAGAAATAGATGAGATTTTGGCATTAACTTTATCAAATGTAATTTTTATTATAAAACTTTTAACTATAAAAAATATAAAAACTCAATTATATAACCAAATGAGTGATAATGTGATGATTAATATTAAAACAAAATTATCATGCAACCCTTTAAAATGATACCAATTCATTGGAATAATATAATAATAGAATTCACGTTTGTTGGCTGACTAGAGCATGTATAATGGGGAAATGATTGATGGTAATTTAGTCTATTACTTAAAAAACGCTTCTTAATTACGAAGGAAATTCTTTCTTAATCTAGAGAGTTTCTTTTATAACAAAGGGTAATTTTGACATTTTTATAAAAATATTTAGTCAAATCATTATGTTATCTACTAGCAGAGGCAAAAGTTACAGTTAAAGGGGTCTTATTGATTGAAAATATATACTAAAAGAGTGTGTAGAGAAGTTTCAAAATTAGGAGAGGNGCAAAAGTTACAGTTAAAGGGGTCTTATTGATTGAAAATATATACTAAAAGAGTGTGTAGAGAAGTTTCAAAATTAGGAGAGGGTGTCATTGAATTTAGACTTAATTATAAAGGGTATGGATGAAATTTTTCCCAACATAAACCTATCATTAGGAGCGTCAAACATGTCAAGTTAAGGAGTTACATGTCAGGTTAAACGAGTGATAAATGAAAAATAAGTAAACTCGTATACGACATGTTTAATAAACAGAACATTATAACATGAACTACTTCCACTACCAATAACCGAATGACGGAGGGGACGGCCATCTTCTAGAGAGCATCCTGGACCTTAGTTGGATAATCCCGTTACTGCCTCCCTCTCCAGCAGAAAATCTCTAGTAGAATCTGTGATCAAACTATATCGGAGAAGAAGCATCGAACGTCCAGCTGGAGTACCCAACCAAGGTCCAGATTGACTAAAATTCTTATCAGCACAGGCAATGAACAATACTTTGCAATATGACTTATTTTACCACAATGGTAACACAGGTGCAGTAACCGCTCATAATGATAAAGAGCAAAACAGATTTTTTCTTCTGAACTCCGAAATTTGATACCACACCGAAGAGGGTCAAGGGCATTGATTTCCACACGAAGTCTCATAAATTTCCTTCCTCCACTCAAGGCCTCTCTTAATTCCACCTCCTCACACTTATGAAAACTGCCCGCAACCTTTAAAGCCATCTCCTTTGTGTATTACTCTCTTAGATGATTGTTTACCTGAATCAAGAACATAGTCGAATCAAAGGATAAGGTGTCAATTGGTATATTCGGATTCTATTGTCCGAAAATTCTTATGTTTCGTTTGGTACGATGAAAAAATAGAAGGATGAAAAATTGAAAAGATAGAAAGTTTGAGTGATAGATAAAATATTATGTTTGATAAGAAATAATAGNCAAAAATTCTTATCTTCCGTTTGGTACGATGAAAAAATACAAGGATGAAAAATTAAAAAGATAGAAAGTTTGAGTGATAGATAAAATATTATGTTTGATAAGAAATAATAGAAAAGTGGATGAATTAACTGTCTTTCCAACTCATCAAAATCAATCCTTCCAAAATCGGAAGGAAAGTAGATGAAAAGTTAATTTTTTGTCTATATATATTATGTATACATTAATTTCATATAAAAATATAATGAAAAATATATATATATAAAAAATAAAAAATAAAAAATTTAAATTAAAAAAAATATTTTTTTATTTTAACTAGGGGTGAAAATTTTCGATTCAATACGATGACACAACTCGAAATCGACACAAATTTTATGACACGAACTTAATTATAACTCGACACGAACTTGAAAATNTGTACCATTAATTTTTCAGCTGTAGTTTATTGGTTGTGGAGCATATCGTAGATAGGATTATTGATTGTATTGGCGTGAGTGTTACATATATTATGCTGACTAGCTCTTAATATTATTCTTCCTTCGTTTTTTCTGGGACGTGTTTTATCAAGTCCAGTTATCGTATTCAAATGCAATTTTTAAATTTATTAACTACACTTTTCATATAATAAAATTTTGACTCATCTAAAAAATAAAATATATTTTTATTATTTTTCTAAATAATGACGATAAGCTAATCAAACTAAAATATATGGCTCTTATATAAATTGTTCGATTTAGTATCCACATTTTTTTAGGGGGATAACATAAAGGCAAAATTTCATCTACACTCCTTGTAGTTAGGTTTAAATTCAATGATACCCTCTCTCAATTTTAAAATTTTATTGTCACCCCCTGTTAGTGCTTGTCGGGTTACGTTGTTAACGGTGATCGTTGACTTACAAAAATATTCCTAAGTATTTTATAGGATAAATTTTATCCACACCCCGTGTAAATAGACTTAATTTTAACAACACCCCTTCCTGATTTTAAATTTTTAATACACTCTCTGTTAGTTTTATTATATTAGCCTTTAAGTTTATCAATTTAATATTTAATTTTATCAAATTAATATTTTTTATTTAATTTAAAGTAAATTAACATTTCATCTTATTAAATCAATACAAAATTGATATTTAATTTTATCAAATTAGCATTTAGTTATGTTAATTTAATATTTAATTTCATCAAAGGAATATTATTTCTTTAATTTAACATTAAATTATTATTTAATTTCACCAAATTAACACCAAATTGAGGTTCAATTTTATTTAATAAAAATTTGATATATTAAATAAAATATTAAATTCTACTAATTCAACATAAAACCTTTCAAATTAATGTTATTTATTTAATTTAACACCAAATGAACATTCAATTTCATTAAAGTAACAATTAAATTTATTTAATTAACATTAAATTTTATCAAGTCAATACTAAATTAATATTTAATTTTATTAAATTAAAATTTATCAAATTAAGATTAAATTTATTCAATTAATATTAAACTTTATCAAATAATATTTAAATTTTATACATGAATGATGATGCGTGAAGAATGGTAAAGTGACGTTTAGCATGACAAACAATAGTAGAAGAGTTAGAAATAGATGAGATTTTGGCATTAACTTTATCAAATGTAATTTTTATTATAAAACTTTTAACTATAAAAAATATAAAAACTCAATTATATAACCAAATGAGTGATAATGTGATGATTAATATTAAAACAAAATTATCATGCAACCCTTTAAAATGATACCAATTCATTGGAATAATATAATAATAGAATTCACGTTTGTTGGCTGACTAGAGCATGTATAATGGGGAAATGATTGATGGTAATTTAGTCTATTACTTAAAAAACGCTTCTTAATTACGAAGGAAATTCTTTCTTAATCTAGAGAGTTTCTTTTATAACAAAGGGTAATTTTGACATTTTTATAAAAATATTTAGTCAAATCATTATGTTATCTACTAGCAGAGGCAAAAGTTACAGTTAAAGGGGTCTTATTGATTGAAAATATATACTAAAAGAGTGTGTAGAGAAGTTTCAAAATTAGGAGAGGGTGTCATTGAATTTAGACTTAATTATAAAGGGTATGGATGAAATTTTTCCCAACATAAACCTATCATTAGGAGCGTCAAACATGTCAAGTTAAGGAGTTACATGTCAGGTTAAACGAGTGATAAATGAAAAATAAATAAACTCGTATACGACATGTTTAATAAACAGAACATTATAACATGAACTACTTCCACTACCAATAACCATTACTGCCTCCCCTGCCGGTAGAAGATCTCTCGTAGGACCTGGAATCAACCTATTTCCCGTTACTGCCTCCCTCTCCAGCAGAAAATCTCTAGTAGAATCTGGGATCAAACTATATCGGAGAAGAAGCATCGAACGTCCAGCTGGAGTACCCAACCAAGGTCCAGATTGACTAAAATTCTTATCATCACAGGCAATGAGCAATACTTTGCAATATGACTTATTTTACCACAATGGTAACACAGGTGCAGTAACCGCTCATAATGATAAAGAGCAAAACAGATTTTTTCTTCTGAACTCCGAAATTTGATACCACACCGAAGAGGGTCAAGGGCATTGATTTCCACACGAAGTCTCATAAATTTCCTTCCTCCACTCAAGGCCTCTCTTAATTCCACCTCCTCACACTTATGAAAACTGCCCGCAACCTTTAAAGCCATCTCCTTTGTGTATTACTCTCTTAGATGATTGTTTACCTGAATCAAGAACATAGTCGAATCAAAGGATAAGGTGTCAATTGGTATATTCGGATTCTATTGTCCGAAAATTCTTATGTTTCGTTTGGTACGATGAAAAAATAGAAGGATGAAAAATTGAAAAGATAGAAAGTTTGAGTGATAGATAAAATATTATGTTTGATAAGAAATAATAGAAAAGTGGATGAATTAACTGTCTTTCCAACTCATCAAAATCAATCCTTCCAAAATCGGAAGGAAAGTAGATGAAAAGTTAATTTTTTGTCTATATATATTATGTATACATTAATTTCATATAAAAATATAATGAAAAATATATATATATAAAAAATAAAAAATAAAAAATTTAAATTAAAAAAAATATTTTTTTATTTTAACTAGGGGTGAAAATTTTCGATTCAATACGATGACACAACTCGAAATCGACACAAATTTTATGACACGAACTTAATTATAACTCGACACGAACTTGAAAATGACCTGACACGCGCACAAGAAATATAAAAAGTTCATAATTTTATGACTCAACACGAATTTGACACGACACGACTCGATTGTTAACCTTAATCTTAGTCATCACAAAAAAAAAATTAATAATTTTTATTTTTCATCCACCCAACCAAACACAAAATGAGAAAAATGTATTATTCCTACTTTTCATTCTTGAAGGATAGAAAATGTATCTCTCTTAATTTCCATCCATTTTACTTTTCATCATTCCTATCAAACGAAATATTAAATGGTTATCTTGACACCAATGGCCTTGATTAATAACTTTGCAAATCTCCTTCTCATATTGGAGAAAGAAATGGAATATATTAGTGGAAACCTTGACAATTCTTAAACTTTTACAACCAAATAGAACATCTCAAAACACTCACTCACATTTGACATAATACTTCTCAAAACACTCACATTTACNACCTCGACAATTCTTAAACTTTTACAACCAAATAGAACTTCTCAAAACACTCACTCACATTTGACATAATACTTCTCAAAACACTCACATTTACCGTCTTTTCAGAAAATATATTCCATATATATTATTTCTACATTCCGTGAGGTTGTTTACAATATCATCACCGTTAAAGTCCAACACAGTAGCTTCCTCCATAGGGAAGAGAGAAAGATTGGAGTTTACAAATTAAATCGTCCGCCATATCAATAATAAAAGAATAAGAAAAAAACTAGCAATAGAGGAACACCATTACCAAAGACCAAGAGAAGAAATGTCCAATTAATACTAGAGTTACAAGGAGAATGAGTAAGATAGAAGATATAAGATTCCAATCAGATGAAATACTTTTAGAAATTATAACACAAGATTGTTTAAACATATGAACTGCACAAAAAATCAACAAAACCCATGAATTTGATTGAAAGATGACCCAAATGGACTTTAACTAGTGTCTAATGGCAATATGGACTTTATATTTTTACAAAGTGACCTCCAAACACACTTCAATCCTTAATTTATACTTTCTAATATTAAAAATCTAAATTTAAAACTTTTAATGTTATGAATAGGTAACAATATAGGCTCGACTCAAATTGTCTTTTAATTTTGTGTCATAAGTTAAAACACGTGAGACGTAAATACTTTGAACATGAAGATGATGTATGTCTATCGTTATAAATTTTCGTTTGTAATCAATTGATCACTGTTTTATGTATCAAAATTAGGATTTCATTAACCAAACAGAGGCTAATTATATCATGTACAATTTACATGAAACACCAATAATCTGTGAATTCAAACATAAATTTATAATCTAAGTACTTTTAACTCACGTGGTTAAATTNTATGTCATAAGTTAAAACACGTGAGACATAAATACTTTGAACATGAAGATGATGTATGTCTATCGTTGTAAATCTTCGTTTGTAATCAATTGATCACTGTTTTATGTATCAAAATTAGGATTTCATTAACCAAACAGAGGCTAATTATATCACGTACAATTTACATGAAACACCAATAATATGTGAATTCAAACATAAATTTATAATCTAAGTACTTTTAACTCACGTGGTTAAATTTATAATAAGCAAAATTCAAATTTCTACTCATTTATAACATGAAGGGTGCCAATTAAGAATCAAGCTATTTTTTTACTGCAAAGTGAAAGTAGTCCATGTTAAAGGACCTCTGAATTGGCGCCACCTGACCTCATGTTCTTCTATGGATTATGTTGACTGAAGGAAAGTGATCTTCAGGCAGAAGTGAACTAAAATCCTCTCTCATTCATCACCACAATGCCATTTTNATTAAGAATCAAGCTATTTTTTTACTGCAAAGTGAAAGTAGTCCATGTTAAAGGACCTCTGAATTGGCGCCACCTGACCTCAGGTTCTTCTATGGATTATGTTGACTGAAGGAAAGTGATCTTCAGGCAGAAGTGAACTAAAATCCTCTCTCATTCATCACCACAATGCCATTTTCACATTCTCTCTCCTCTTTCTCTCTCCTCACATACTCAACCCACCTCCACCACCACAAATCCACCATTATCTATCCACCAAACCCATCAAATTCTAAGTCTCTGTTCATCAAAGCCTCCATAGACAAACCATCCAACACAAACAACAAACCCACCACCGCAGCCAAACCGGGCTCATGGGTCAGCCCAGACTGGCTCACCACCTTAACCAAGTCCCTAACCGTTGGTCAAGACGACTCCAACATACCCATTGCAAGTGCCAAGCTCGAAGATGTCTCTGACCTTCTGGGTGGTGCTCTTTTCCTCCCATTGTTCAAGTGGATGAATGAATGTGGACCCATTTACCGCCTCGCTGCAGGGCCGAGGAATTTCGTGGTGGTCAGTGACCCTGCCATTGCCAAGCATGTGCTAAGGAATTATGGCAAGTATGGTAAGGGTCTTGTCTCTGAGGTCTCTGAGTTCTTGTTTGGTTCAGGCTTCGCCATTGCTGAAGGCCCACTTTGGACGGTAATACTCTCGAATTCTTTGTTTGTAATTGAATTATCTGTGTCAAGTTGGTATAATTTTCTGTTGGATTTTATTTAAGAATGGGGGTATGTTTGGTTCTAATTTTGCTTCACCTGGGTTGGGTAATTGCTGAATGCCAGCTTTCCACGGTGATGCTCCCAATTTTCGGCTTTGTTGTCGAATTATTAGTGTAAAGTGGTTGTAGTTTGATCTTGAACCCAATAATATAGATGATGTTCTAATTTGAGTTCTCAAGGTTGGTTTATTACTACACCTAGATTGTGTGTTGTGGATTTGTATGTTGTTGAAGGTTTGTTAGTTTAGCAAGATTATGTGGTCCTAGTGTGTTTATGACTTTATTCTGTTTGGGCATATTTTGCATCCATGGCACTTGAATGCATCAATGTTAATCACAAATCACCTAACTATAGAATTCAGTAGTCCTATACAGGGCTATTCATAGAAAATGGCAGCCGCCTCCTTGGTGTCAATGGGAAACTGAAAGAATGCCAGTTAAACAAATTATAAAATTGCTTTGATACCATATGATATATTCATTTATTTTTGGTGTTGTACATAGGCATGAAAATTTACCTTTAAATACTATGGGCCATCCCCACTCCTTATTCAAACTCTTACACAAATTTAAATTTGAGTAAAAACAGACTAAAAATAAGCTCCAGTATTTTGACTAAAATCTATACCAAATGAAGGGAGTCTCAAATATTTACTCAAATCTTCAATGGTTAGATTGCCCTTCCTTTAAATTTGAGATTGCTCTTCTCTAAATTTGAGTTTGTCCTTCTTTAAATTTAAGTTTGTCCATTAGAGTGTCTTGTACCAAATCAAGGTTTTTACTCAAATTTGAGTTTGAGTTTGGGTCAACATTGGAGGTGTCTGTTTAAATTCCTAAGGTAACCAGATGTGCCCTTAACAAATATGATCGACAAATCTTCATTGTGGGCTTACCTTGGTATAATACTTTATACCCTATAGTCCATATCAGGCTGATATCTTGACTAGATTAAGTGTCATCTAGTATAGCTTTGTTGAGTTTAAGAATCATCCTGTTCCTTTTGATCCTAAAATGCATAAAATTTTATCGGTGACAGGCAAGGCGCAGGGCTGTGGTTCCCTCACTTCACAAGAAGTACTTGTCAGTAATAGTTGATCGAGTCTTCTGCAAATGTGCTAAGAGAATGGTGGAGCAGCTAAAAACGGACGCACTCAATGGATCTGCTGTAAACATGGAGGGAAAATTTTCTCAGCTGACTCTGGATGTTATTGGCCTTGCAGTATTCAACTACAATTTTGAGTCCCTTGCTGCTGATAGTCCTGTAATTGATGCAGTTTACACTGCATTGAAAGAAGCAGAGCTCCGTTCAACTGATCTATTACCATATTGGAAGGTAGGTTCTTCCTCGTACTTCTGTCGTTTCTTTTTTGATGAAAATGATGGTTTTTTCATTCTTCCTGCAGATTAAAGCATTGTGCAAAATTGTCCCAAGACAAATTAAGGCTGAACAAGCAGTTACATTGATTAGAAGCACTGTTGAGGAACTCATATCAAAGTGTAGAGTGATTGTGGAAACTGAGGGTGAAAGGATTAACGATGAGGAGTATTTAAATGAAACAGATCCAAGCATTCTTAGATTCTTGCTTGCTAGCAGAGAAGAGGTCTGCAAATTTTATTTTCTGTTTTACATGACCCATGACATGTGCTTGCATTTCTTGCACATATTTTCCAGAAAGCCTACGTGCAACAAGTTCAAGATGGACAGGAAAGTTTTCCACTTTTGCTATGGTGTACATATAGGCTACTTGGTGCAATTTTAAGATTCTTCCACGCACCCACGATAGATTGTATGGGTTGATTTCAGAGTTGAATAAGGCGATGCACTGATTTTTGCTTTTGTCATTACATGGGTTGAACAAGCAACAACAAAAAATGAATGGCTTATAAATCTGGAAGTCAGAGAGTTATAATCTTTCATCTCTCCCTCCAAATCCCAGAGTTAGGTAACTTTTTTAGATAGCTGTTTTGTGATCAATATAGGACTGAAAGAACATATATAGTTTATTTCAGCTTAAACATAGCCATGGGTGAACCTTGTGCTTTCTATGATTAAATATTGTTACTCTAATACAGTCTCATGGCACAATGTCAAGGGTCTGCTTCACAAAATCTATGTGGGCCTACCAATCCCACGGCAGATCNGGTCAATATAGGACTGAAAGAACATATATAGTTTATTTCAGCTTAAAACATAGCCATGGGTGAACCTTGTGCTTTCTATGATTAAATATTGTTACTCTAATACAGTCTCATGGCACTATGTCAAGGGTCTGCTTCACAAAATCTATGTGGGCCTACCAATCCCACGGCAGATCAACTCAGCTAATTTTGTCTTCAGTGTTTTTTTGTCCTCATATTATATTGAAAATCGAAATGTGTGAGTTTTTTTTTGCAAAACAGTACGAGCCTATTTTTAGAGACTTAGATCATGGAGGGCAAGCCAACCGCTCAAGCTCAAAACAAAGAGTTGATTCCAACAAGAGGAAAGATCAGCTTTAGAAGCCCTAGCCCAAAAAGCTAAAATTGAGTAGCACAAAATCAGGCATTTAATATTACTAGGTGATCCTGTTCTGTATATTTTTTNGCTGATTCCAACAAGAGGAAAGATCAGCTTTAGAAGCCCTAGCCCAAAAAGCTAAAATTGTGTAGCACAAAATCAGGCATTTAATATTACTAGGTGATCCTGTTCTGTATATTTTTTGTCGCATAGCTTAGCATCTGATATTCATATGCAATTAATGCGTTTTCCTAAGAGGTGGATTGCTTTTAGAGATGGGCTTCTACACACCATGATACTTTTCATGCATGTACGTGAAATTTGTACACGGTGTAAGCTATTACAAGTGTTTGATCTTTCTAAATCCTAACCTTTAGTAAACCTATATCTATGGTTCATTCTATATTGAATTTCACTTTCATCAATGGGTTGAGGATGACATCTGGTTTGAACTTCATGGAATATTTGGCTTTTTGTTTTTGTTTTTCTTCTCATTCTGGTTTTGATATGATGTCTCTGTGTTTTAGGTTTCCAGTGCACAATTGCGAGATGACCTTTTGTCAATGTTGGTTGCCGGCCATGAAACCACTGGTTCAGTATTGACTTGGACATCATATCTTCTAAGTAAGGTACTATTAGAAGTTGTATGCCCATCATCGTAATTCAAGTTACCCTTTAAGTTTTGTTGTTTGAAGAGTTTGAATGGGAGTGGGTGGGGACTTCATGTATTTGGGAGTATTAATCGGGTCTTTAAGAGTTTCTTATGCCAAAAAGAAAAAGAAAAACAAAATAGAAAAGAAAGGAAGCTTGGCTTTGAAATACAAACTCCATGCTTGGCGAAGCTAGTATTCCCCTGATGTTATTATCTAGTGAACATCATCAGAGTGTCCCACTCATCTGCTTTCATTCTATGTCAATCATTTGAAACCTGAAGCCGAATATAGCCAAAAGGAGCCCAAACTGGTGGCTTGAATTTGGGTCAAAATGAGGCAGCACATGTCATCTTACATACATAGAGAGAATATGAATTCATTAATGGAGCAAATCACTGATTTTTTGTCTAGATAGTGTTAATGACGAGAAAATATTTATCTAGTAGACCTCATATAGCTGGTCTATACATATACTTTCGGATTGTGAGCACAAGTGCTTCCCCATGTCATAACACATTAAGGATTTCCGTTTATAATCTACTTACATTGAAAGACTATGCACACTTGCATGTCTTGCATACAACTTTGGGAATTCCATATAGATTGACCTGGATCAAATCGATTCTTTTTTGAATCTCTATACGTGCAATTCCCTCGATGCTAGAGGATATTTTGCTATTTTTTTGTACATAATTCTTGATACAATCTCTTATGTTTTGTTCTTCTTGTAAACCTTCGGAATAATTTTTTGGTGGTGCAAACCAAAGGGAATGATGACCTTGGGTTGTACCAAGTTTGAAACCAAGTGGATTTATTTTGTTCCATACTCCCCCATTATTATACATATCATGATACACCATAGCTGTATACTTCTTTCGTTCATTTAAATAGACACCCATGCACTGCCATATGTCAATTTAACATCATGTTTGTGTTACTGTCTTTATCAGTGACATTGTCAGCTTTAGCTAGAATCTGGTGGTGTTTATTATGTTCATTACTGCTTCACTTATGTTGAAGACCGCCAATTGGGCCATTTATTCCAACTCATATCCACACTTAATTTCTGTTTGTTTTGGTTTTCTGTGCAACTTTCAAGACTTTTAGCATGGATCACTATATCGTGAACATGACTAAATCCCAAGTTTGTTCAGTGCTATAAAACCATTTGATCATAGACTTACGATCAACCATCTTTTGTTCCTAAATATTTACATGCAGGACCCTTCTTCTCTCATGAAAGCGCAGGAAGAAGTTGACAGAGTTTTACAGGGACGGTCTCCTACCTTTGAAGACATTAAGAACCTAAAATTCTTGACACGCTGCATAAACGAATCAATGCGTCTGTACCCACATCCTCCTGTAAATCAAAACCCTGCTTCCCATTTGAGTTAAGTGTAGTAAAATGCTTCTTTCTGATTACTAATTTTCTTGAGGAACCCGGTTTTCTAGGTGCTGATCAGAAGAGCACTAGTTGCTGACGTGCTCCCTGGAAATTACAAGGTTAATGCTGGTCAGGATGTAATGATTTCCGTATATAATATCCATCATTCACCACAGGTATCAGATCAATGACTATATTATGGAATCCTTTTGTTTTCCTCTTTTGGTCATTAACATTAGTAGATGTAATACTCAGGTTTTGCTTCTTGGAAACTTACCATTGCTTTCTACTGTGATGTGGTGGTGACCTATAAATGGACCAAGGGATTTTCCACTAATTACTAAATAACATTCTCTGTCCAATTTAGTTCCTTCTTTAGCTTTTACATTTAAAAGCTCCTCAAGACCTTGCTATGATTAAAAACTTAACTTTCTTGATAGTCTAAACTCATGAAACAAGTAATTCAATCAATTCGATTATTCCCTGCTTTCTCATGTTTGCATCCGTTCATTAACTATCCCATGAATTTGGAAAAAAATATAATAAAATCTTTTTTATTTTTTGTTCATTTCAGTGCCTGTGGTTAACAATTTTGAATAATGTGTTAAGTGTAACTGATAATCCTCCATGTTGTATGAAAAAAAACATACCAGATATTGTTCCACACAGAAATTATGCTAGAAGAATTTTTCTTTTTCATATAATGAGTTTCTTCCCTCCATTTTTTGGGTGAATGACACCTTGTATTCATGTGAAATGTTCCATTCATCCGTGCTCAATGTGCATCTACCAGGTCTGGGAAAGAGCAGAGGAGTTTGTGCCAGAAAGATTTGATTCAGAAGGCCCGGTGCCTAATGAAACAAATACTGATTTCAGGTGTTGATTTCACCTATTAGTTTTCCTTTTCTTTTTTATTTTTTTGTTTTCCATTTCCCGAAGTTGTACTTATAGATCAAAGGCCATTATCGGTTCTTTGGATCTTAAAATTAATTTGGGTTTTCATATTGGAAAATATATGTTNAGATCAAAGTCCATTATCGGTTCTTTGGATCTTAAAATTAATTTGGGTTTTCATATTGGAAAATATANTAGATCAAAGGCCATTATCGGTTCTTTGGATCTTAAAATTAATTTGGGTTTTCATATTGGAAAATATATGTTGCAGATTCATCCCATTCAGTGGAGGGCCTCGTAAATGTGTTGGTGATCAATTTGCTTTGTTGGAAGCAATTGTTGCTCTTGCAGTCTTTGTGCAGCATATGAACTTTGAGTTGATTCCTGATCAGAACATTAGCATGACAACAGGAGCCACTATACACACAACCAATGTAATATCCCCAAACTGTGATCCTAACGTTCAACTACACACAAGTACTCATTGGACAACATAATAGGCATATGGCCTTGCCTTTGCCATTTGACCTCAAGGTCAGGGTGGGTACCAAAACCAGACCAGTGAAAAAAAGGCTGAATGGTCATGTGGTTGCAGCCATTTTTCAATGAGTCAGGATATTTCTGTGCATAAATCTCATATCATTTTGGTAACCAAACACTAAGACTGATGAACTTTCTTGCATATATGTGCACAGTTGTGTGCATTACAAATGAATTTACAGAATACCATCTCCAGTTCTGAATAGATGGGATACTTTATTAACCTAGTGAGATGTGGATTTACTTTCATCTGTTCATGATATGAATGTTGCTAATGTTGCAGGGCTTGTACATGAAAGTGACCCAGAGGCAAACTCAATCTGCATTTGCTGCATCAATTTCTGCTAGGTAAGATTGTGTGCTTTGTATATAGGTAGCAAAAATCCAAAGTGACAGGGTACGATGCCATAGTGAAGGAAAATATACCCCTCAAGGTTCTCATTCTTTGATCCACAAAATGCCTACTCATTGTGCATCTGATGACACAAAACAATAAGGACCGATTTTGTAAGCCATTAACAAAAGACTTGCTGTGCTTAATGCCCATGTCTAGGCTTTCCTTGGCCATTTGAGTGTTAATTGCTATTATTTGCACCCTTATCTCTAATTATCTTGTTGGAAACTTGTATCTTTGTTTTAATCCACCATATCTTACAAGGGATTTGTTGATACATCTTGTTCTTTATAGCGTTTGTCTTCATTTCTGCTAAGAAGAGCAAGTTCAAGTATTTTCGATACATGGTAATTTAATTTTCCATATGAGAGTGATGATTCAATTTGCAACACAGATTCCAGTTCATAGAATGGAGAGTTGGGGGCTGATAACAATGTGTAGGGTTGTTATATAGTTGTTTACAATAGGATAAGTTCTAGGATTGGATAATAATGTACTACTTCATATGCATCAAGTATGATAAGTTTGAGGATAGTTTAAAGGAATACAATGCATTCTCGTAGATGCCCAAATTGGACTAATTAATTTGAATTTAACTCTGGCCGAATCTGAAATATTCAGTACTAAGAAAAATAAATATTTAGATGTCTCATGAACTCTCTCCTTCAACCCTTGAAAGCTTCTTTCATTTATTGATGAAACCAAAACCCAAGCTTCTATGTCTATTTCACCTTTTTACGTGCAGTCCACACCTTTTAAATATGAGCAATGCTATTCGCATTTAATTTACTCATTTAATTAATTATTGTCGTTGAATTAGTGGTTAGTCTCAATATTTGTTAAAAAGAATTGTTAATTTAATAATTTTGATGAATTAAGTCAATAAATTAGATTTAACTAATATTATTTATTAAATATTTATCCCATGGCTTTTCTCTCGTGTCATCTTTATCACAACTTTTAGTGCAATGAATTTTTTTTTTGTTTAATGGTTAGGAGTGTCCAAGTCAACTAATGTGCACGTCAATTAATCTTCTCTTCGGTTCGATTAAATATAAGTCATCCATACCGAGATTAGGGTATTTGTGAGGGATAAATCTCTTATAGTTTGACACAAGAGATTGTTAAGATTTGAATTCAAAACATCTGAGTTGATTTCTAGCTTGTTTCTGTTATCTCCTGAGTTATCACGCACAATTCTCTCTCCTAATACAAAGTGTTCAACCAATGGACCCCATACCTTTACCTTTTTAAATAAACTGTTAACAATAATTGGAAGTATTTCTTATCATAATCTTTCGAAAAAAATTTTTTACTATCAAAAAAATAATAAAGAAGCATTCTCATTTTTCATAATTACGATCCCACTTGCTAATTTCCATTCATAACTAATGTCCATTTTGTTCGGTCTTCCGCTCTTCTTGTGTTTAAACAAATGCATCTCAATCAATTTCTTTCTAACAGAGGCGTCCTTGAGATAAGCAAAGCCATCAAGGGGTCATCTATTGTTAAAAAAATAAAAAATAAAAATGTTAAAGAATATCTCATTCGATGATCATAGATGAAGCAGAATACAAATGTATATTTGCTGATTGAAGTAGCATATAAAAAAGCGGAGCTTATGATAAAAATAACTATGTGCATGGGTGATTTCCTGTAATGTGTTGAGATAGTAACCTTCTGAATGATCTTGAACGATGGATCTAAAACAATCAAAGGATTAGGAAAGGGTGAACCCAATTAATCCTCTCTGAAGTTCAAGTTAGTCGGCATGTAGGTCGTAATTCACAGTGTATTCTTAATTCCAGATTGCGTAGCTTAGTTTAGCTTTTTTGAGGGGCATTTATACCTAGATTCGCAATGATGACCCTAACCTAGAGTTTAATGGCTTGTGCTTACTATTTAGCATAATAAGTGTCATTTCATCAAGTCTCGTTAAGGCTATTCCACTCGGGCAAATGAGTTTATGCTCAGGAACTGTCGAGCATTCATGGCTCGATCCCCAGTCATTAAATGCCTCATATCGGCGCTCGGAACCTACATCTAAGCATTCATGAGGAGGAAAAAACTAACCTCGGGGCGTCGCGGGGTCCTCATGCCGGCATGATGGCCATTAATGCCTCCTAATGATGATTGTCTTCATGTTGTTCGAGAATTCGAACACTCATTAATAGTTCTCTCAAACCACTCAAGACTCGTATTAATAAGTTGTCAAAACTTATTTAATGCGGGGTTCTGAGGGCCATACTCGGTCTCGTATTTCATAACTTCTTGGTGTCTCTCTCCAACGAACTGTGTGCGTTCTGACGGTTGTGGGTGTCCATGTGTCGATTATCTATTGGTGAGCTGCCTAATGTCCCATCAACTGCCCCCCACATCCATTTTTCTTGCGTCATAAGATAAGTGGTACACAAAGAGTGGAGACTCCCTTAGCACGCCTGTTTACTAGGGACAGTTAGTCGCATGTCTGGCGCCTATTTTCGAATTGCAATTGATGGCCTTGAAATTCCATTCATACCTAATGTCCATTTTGTTCGGTCTTCTGCTCTTCTTGTGTTTATACGAGTGCATCTCAATCAATTTCTTTCCAGTAGAGTCATCCTTGAGATAAGCAAAGCCATCAAGGGCCCATATCTATGCTATTAATGAAGGCGGAGAAGTTTGGTGTCCTCTCCCTTTTATATTGGTTAATTAGTAGTTTATTATTATTATTATTATTATTTAATTTATAGTTAACTTTTGTAGTAAAATTCTACATTGATCTATGACTCTGTTTCTCTCTCACGTCTCTCTGTTACACACACATGACCAATACCACCAAAAATTTTTCACATGTGTTATACAAGTGTTTGAGAATAAATTCACACAAAGGGTAACCATCTTTTAAGGATGGAAAGAGTGGTGAGTAAGCCCCTTTATTTGCAAGGTAAGAGAATATCTAGATGAACTGATGGTTGGAGGTGACCAAAGGGACTCCGATGTTTAAGTCAAATTACAAGTCAAAAAAAAGTATAAAGTGAATTGGATTGAATTAAATTACCTAATACTTAGAGCTTTTATTTATAACGGTAGGGAGATTTGTCCCAATGATTCAACCCTGTCATCTGGTTTTATAAGTACGAGGTAGAGTTTGATTAGAACTCTAAGTATTAACCCCTTATCACCAGCTCCTAAACATTCGGAATGGTATTATGTTGTGATCGTGCAACAATTATGGTGAATAGTAAGGAATCAAACAATTAAGAAAGCAAGAGAAAATAACACACAGAGATTTACGTGGTTCGGTAATGTGCCTACATCCACGAGAGCGAGCGGCCGTTCTTTTCCATTATTGAAGTAGGGTTACATCTTAAGTATTTATATAACTCTAATATGGACGTATTTTAAGTATGTTTCTCTTCTATGACATACTCAAATTATTCTCTTAAATATGATTTATGCTTAAATGATGCATATGCAGTACCTTATCGACAAATGATGCATAAACAGTGCCTTACTGGTAAAACTGAAAAATTTATCCTCACTTTTTCATATCTCTACAATTCTTCTTCATCACTTTCTGAATTTAAAACTATTCCTAAAATCTTATCTTTAAAATTTTCATCAACAATTAATTCGTTTATTTTTTGTTTAGTTAAACATTTAAATGCAATATGTCCTTCTTTTCCACACTTAAAACACTTAATTGATTTTTCACTTGTTGATTTAAGTTTTTTAGTGGATTTATTTATTTTATCTTTTTCATAATTTCATTTATGGAATTTTTCTCTTTTCTTATATGGTTTATTGTAAGATTTTCTTTTAGATGGAGATTTATCTTTTGGAATATCAAGATTATAAGTAAATTGATTACAAAATTCTCCAAGTTTTTTTTGACTAGTTAATCTCTGTTTTTTAAGTTGAGGTTTAAGATTTAAATCATTGCAGAGAGCTAAAACTTCTAAAATACATTCAGAAATTAATTCTCCGTAAGTGTAATTTTCATAAGGAATTTTAAATCCACCTTGTCTTTGCTTTAGTCGAATCCTTATTTTTTCAACAAATAAGTTGGGTAAATCAGATATAAATTTTTCTTTCCAAAACTAATTATTAGCATCTGTTCTTAACAAAAATTTTGCTAAAAAAACATCTTTATACCACCTAAAATGGGTTAAGGTAGGACATCTTAAATTCATTAAAAGTTCTTTACTCTTATATGTACTTTGTAAGCTTGTCCTTATAAAATGTTTTAATATTGTTTGTATTAAAGTATAAACAGCATCTTCTTGGGTGTTTATACTCTCATCTTCTGCTGTTATTATTTTTACTGCATTTAAAATTTCATGTTTTTTAGATAAACTTAAATAGTTATCTCACCAGCCTCTTAATTGGACAGTAAATCCTGCAGTTTAAATTTAGCAGTAACATGGTCTGAATTACGATTAGCTTTACATATAGAGGCGTACATTAAATTTTTATGTAAAACTTGATGAATTAAATATTATGACACGTCGTCAATAGTCCACTCATAAATAGAAGAGGCATCATATCCGATTTGATCAATAAAAAAGTTTTCCTCATATAAAATATCTTGAGAGGTTGATCTGTGATAATAAGTCCTTATAGGGGGTGCTTGCGAATATGTATTATTTTGCTTTTTTAGGTTTAGAATACTCAATTTTATTTATTTCTTCATACTACATTTGGTGTAAAGAATCTTCAAATTGTTGTATTTCAGTTTCAAATTGTTTTACACTTTTTGTCTGAGAAATTACATTTAATGACATTTTTTTTAGTTTCTGTTTAAGTTCATTTATGAACTCGTCTTTAACTTTATTATGCAAATTAAATGTTGAAGCATCTATGGGAGGCTTAATGTTCACTTTTTCAATTTCAACCGATTTGTTTCTTATAGTTTGGGAAGACAAAGTTTNAACATCTATAGGAGGCTTAATGTTCACGTTTTCAAATTTCAACCGATTTGTTTCTTATAGTTTGGGAAGACAAAGTTTCTTGTCTTTGTTTGCTTATTAAATTTTCAATTTACTCAAGTGTTGACCTATCACTTGTAGATAAACATTGGTGTAATTATTTTTTTTTATAGAAATATTTATCCCTACGTCATGATTATCCTTTAGAAAATAGATAGCATTCATAATAATGTCTCCTAACTCATTTGAAGTGGAGGCTATCTTTACGGTTTCATATGTAAGAGGATAAAAGCTATTTATACTTTTACCATCCAATGTTTCCTATTTATATTGAAATTGTTCAATTATATTTAATTGATCCATGGTGGGTGGAGAATAATAGGTTAAAAGCCATTTAACAAAAGAATTACCCTTTTTTTCCTTAAAACATTTCTTTATATCTTTGAAGATCTTCTTGATTCAGTCT